CTCTAACCGCTGAGCCAAACTGGCCAGGGCCTCCCTATATTTAAGTCTGAGAACCAAAGTTAAGATTCATTGATTTTTCAATACCAAAGTATTTCTCAATGCAGAAAAATTTGGCTCAGCAGTTAAATTTTTGGCCTGCAGACCAAAGGGTCTCAGGTTCAATTCCCAGTTAGGGGCACATACCTGGGTTGCAGGTTCAATCCCCGGTCACAGTCGTGTGGGAGCAACCAATCAATGTGTCTTTCATATCGATGTTTCTCTGTCTCTCTCTCTCCCTCCCTTCCGCTCTATCTGGCAATCAATGGGAAAATATCCTCAGCTGAGGATTAACAGAAAAAAATTTGAGAGAAACAAAGCATTTCTCCTATATTTGAAATAGTTATAGCTCTTAAAATAAGATTTTATTATTTTAGTAGTTCACTCTTTAAAGTATATCAGAAAACCATTTCTAATTATTCACCACCATCCTACAATATATTATAGCTAGTGGCTATGAAGGGAAGATAATGTATACAGCGATGATCCTTCTACAGCTAAAGCCTGACTATGATTCTGAGCACTGAAAAACTCAGCAAGAAAATGAAATAAAAAGATAGGTCAGCCCTGGCTGGTTTAGCTAAGTGGTTAGAGCATCAGCCCATGGACCAGAGAGTCCTGGGTTCAGTTCCTGCTAAGGGCACGTACCTCAGTTGCAGTTTGTCCCGGCCCTGCTTGGGGTCGTGTGGGTGGCAACCACTTGATGTGTCTCTCTCACATCAATGTTTCTCTCTCTCTTCCTCCCTCTCTCTCTCCTACTCTAACTGGAAAAAAAAAAAAAAAAGAAAGGAAAAAAAAAGATAGGTCATAGAAGGCCAAGCTCTGTCTATCCATAACACTTTCCTTAAAAGGTGATGAATAGGAAAAGATTACTCCACATATTTATAACTTGAAGATTCAATCATCTTCTAAGAGTAGAAGGTGAATATTAAAATTTTTTCTGTAAAAACAGAAACAACAGGTAACATATTATTACAATGTGACTCTTCCTGCCCTATCTATGTAACATGTCTACTCATTTAATCCACACAAATATCCTCTGATGCACATGCTGTTTTATCACCCCAATTTAGAGATGGACAAACTGAGGCTTTTATACAAGTGATTTGCTCCAAGTTATACAGCTCTTAAGATACAGAACCCAGGCTCAAGATGGATCTAGCTGACTCTTTATTTTCCTTTTGAGGAGCTTGAGAAAAGAGAAACTCACCCCAATCTTTATTTTAAAAAAATATAGCCCTGGCCGGTTTGGCTCAGCGGTTAGAGCGTCGGCCTGCGGTCCAGAGAGACCCAGGTTCGGTTTCCACTAAGGGCGCGTACCTTGGTTGCAGTTTGTCCCCGGCCCTGGTTGGTCGTGCAGGTGGCAGCCACTTGATGTGTCCCTTTCATGTCAATGTTTCTCTCTTTCTCTCTCTCCCTCTCTCTCCCTCCCACTCTACCTGAACAAAAAAATGGGAAAATGTCCTCGAGTGAGGATAAAAAAAATATATATATATATATGTTTTTTATTGATGTTAGAGAGAGAGAGGAAGGGAGAGGGAGAGAGAGAAACAAGAGAGAACCATTAATCGGCTGCCCCCTACTGGGGATCAAGCCCAAAACCCAGGCATGTGCCCTGACTGGAAATTGAACGGCCAACTTAGTGCACCAACAACACTCAACCAACTAAGCCACACTGGCCAGGGCGGATCTAGCTGACTCTTAACCCTGCTTTAAACCACTGTCTTTAGTTAAAATTTAAACTCCCCTTTCTAAATGATGTCACTATTTCCTCCTGATACTGGTTTCATCATTCTAGAAGGAAAGCCTTAAAAGAAGTTTAGCTCTAATTTAAATAACACCCCAGCATCTAAGAACATCAGAAAACCCCGAACCTTCACTCTAACCTTGAAAACAAAGTCTCCGGAAATGCCAACCCAAATCATAAATTTTAAGATGCCAATCTTTTGGCCCATGCTTCATCCTCTTCTTTCCTATGCTACATTGTAAAAACATGGTTGGGAAGGAAGAGAATCATTTCCAAAGTTTAACTTCCAAGTTTCTTAGTTTGGCAACAACACTGTGCTTTGGGACTTTAAAATTATAAGCATGGTTCCCAGGGGAAAAACATTTCCTTTATTAGCAACAGGCTCTGAAAATTCCATTCTATGATGCTAAATATAACAAATTATATAATAAAAACATTCTCCAGATTATTTTGAAACTAATGATTGTCTGCTTATTTACAAGACAATTTTGCCATATTTAAGCAACTGGAACATTTTAAAGAATCTTTCAAATTTGTTCCAATTCTTTTTAATAAGTTGACCTGATACAGTTTTCTGAATTCTTCTATAAAATAAGAAAGTTCCCATTTCATGATTCATTTCCCTAAAAAGATATCCTTTTGTAGGTATTTCTAATTTTTTTAAGTTCTAACAGGAGTATCTGTAAACTCTGGCCAGGTAGCTAGTTGGTTAAGAGCATCTTCCTGATACACCAAGGTTGCAGGTTCCATCCCTGGTTGGGGCACATACAGGAAGCAGCCAATGAATGCATGGGTAAGTGGAGTAGCAAATAAATCTCTCTGTGTCTCTCAAAAATCAATCAAAAAATGTAATAATAAAAAATATATATATCGGCAAAATTATGAAAGTTTTTTCAACCTACTGAAATAAAACAAGTCAGTATGTTTTTAAACTCTAAAATATACATTCACCAAAGACAAATACAGCATTTCACAGTTCCTAAAATGTATCTTTATTTTAAAATCCCATACATGATAATTCGGAAATACAGTGATGGGGTGAGGGGCTATTTGCTTGTTCTGAGCTAATGGACTACATCAGGCTTTTAACAGAATACAGTAGCTGTCGTGTTTTAGGAAGCAACATGCACTTAGTGGACCTCACAACCTCAGACATTCTGTCGTACAAGTTAGGTGGAGTTGTAAAAAATTAAGGCACACTTAGCTGGACAGCTCCTCATATCCTTTGTACCTAAAACATGGGATGAGAAAGTATTTTAAGTATCTTTGTGGGGTATTTTGTTTATTGTGTGTTTTTGTTTTTTACCTTATTGAATTTGGGGGGTGATGTTGCCCAGTACTTTTTCTCTGGGAAATGGATTCAAGGAGTTTTGGGTGGGGAGGGCAGGAAACTTCTTTCACCTTGTAATCCAGTGGGGGACAGGGGAGTTGTGTGTATGGCTTTGTTTTGTTTTTATCAGTACATATGTGTAATTATTACAAATAGTTAGCTTTTAAAAAATATAGCACACTAGCTCTCGTGCCTTCTTTTTTCTCCCTCTTCTCACACCCTTGAGGCCCACAAAGTACCATAACACGTCTGGCCTGTCACTCTTAAACAGGGCCGCATAGCCTCCAACTAGTATACAGTGTGGGAACAGAATTCTTCCAGGCCCAACCAAGGTATTTAATAGCAAGATTAGAAATTTCAAAGTACCTTGTCTCTGCAAGCGACTCCTAAATTTACACAGAAGCCCTAAATGTTCTCCGAAATATATTCTAAAAATCATTTGGATGATCCACAGTCAAAAGCAACGTGAGTTGTTTAAAACCTAAAACATTCTTTCACCTAAAACACTTATTCCTCCTCATAAAACTGCTCTGTTTACACCCCGTCACCAAATCTTTGGGCTTTCTTTCTTCCTGGTGTCTCCCCAACATCCCTTTCCTCCAGTTATCAAAACCTGCGAGCTACAGTGGGTGCCATTAGCCTGGTATACGGCAACAGGAATTAGTGGGAACAGCTGTTCCTCAGCTCCAGCCAAATGTTAATCAGGTGGAAACATGATGGCAGATCTTCCAATTATCCAATATAAGCAACAAATTCAGACTGTTATGAGAAATCTTGTTTGTTTGTTTGTTTGTTTTCTTATTGATAAGAGAGAGACAGACAGAGAGAGACAGATTTGTTCTTCCACTTATTTATGCGTTCATTGGCGTATGGGAACGAGACTCTAAACAACCGAGCTACCGGGCCAGGACAAGTCTAGTTTTTAAAGCAACACGTGGACCAACGAATACATTTGCAGGTCACCTATTAGCAACCCCAAGTTAACCATTCTCTTTCATTCTGGTGCAAGCTCCCTTGGGCCATTCTACACACCGCTGCCAAATCAATTTACCAACTACAGTGCTCCTCACCACTGCTAACTCAGGGCTCGAAATACTACGATGAAGCCCCAACGTTTAGGCTGTCATTCAACGCCCACAGTATCACAACCACTCCCCCTTCACCTTCCTCAACTACCCTTCACAAACCTTTCACTTCAACGAAGAGTCTACTCCCCTCATCCTTCACCCCTAACCGGCAGCATCCCCGCCAAGATGGCCTCTTTTTACCCTCCTCCTTTACCCCAGCCATGCCCACATTTACAGCAGGAAACAAGCCCACCTACTGGGGTACACCTTCCAACACCTGCTGACTGCGAGTCAAGAGACCTCTGCTGAAAGCTAACAGATTTCACTTTTAAGGAATTTAAACCTCCTACGAGGTAAATCCCAAGGCCTTGTCTTGATAACCCCCCAACATTTAGAGAGATGCGGAGAGCCTAAGTCGGGAACAGAGGAGTCGAGTCGCCTGCCCGAGGTTTTAAGGGGTCTCGACGCCTTCACACTCAGGAAGATCTCCGGGTGTGGGGGACTGGATGGGACACCCCCAATCAGCCCTGGGAGACAGACGGTGGTGCACAATGCCCCGCGCGCTACTTTCTGCGCCGCGGAGATACCACCCCCAATCAAGATACCACCGGAGCCGTGCCCCGGGAACCCCGACGCGCTGACCCCTGACACGCACTCCGCGGAGGTCCCGCAGCCAAGGACCCTCGCGCTGCCCAGGCCCGGTGCCGCCGTCTGTCGCCACAAAGGATCAAAGAGTCAGCCAACCCCACGGCGCGCGTCCCCCGCGGACCTCCGGGAGGCGCCGCTGCTCTGGCCGCGCCCACCCGGATGCCGCCTCTACCTTGTCCACGGTCGGTGCGTCCGGGTCGCGGACCGCTCTAAGCCTCAGCTCGTTCATGCTGGAGACTCGGGGGCGACGTTGCCGCGGGTGAGCAGCGCAGCCGCCGGAGCGGGCAGCTCAGCGCGGGCGCGCGCGGACTCCGCTCGGCCGGCCCCGCCCCGCCTGAGCAGCGCACAGCTCCGCAGCAGCTCGCAGGGCCCACCGCAGCCGGGCTGCCAGCCCTTGACCTCGGCCCCTCCCAGCGCCGCTACAGCCCTTTCACCGGGGCGGAGCTCGGTGGGACTCCTTCAGCCCCAGCCTGCCCGCTCCTCCTGGGGCCGGGAGCGAGCGCGCACGCGCACCGAGAGACCCACCAATGGCGTGACTCTGCCAGGGAGGCTGGGCAGATGGGGCGGGGCGGAGTAGATAGGCGTATATTGGACAGCAGTGTGAGAGGGCGGGAAAAGGCGTGCGTTTTCGAGGAAGACTAGCCAATGAGAGCTCCCTCCAGACCGCGGAGGGCCGGCGCTGGCACCTTGTAGGTAACGGGTTGCTGGAGGTAAGAGGCGGTAACCTAGCGGCTCTATCTTCGCCAGTACTTTACTTGCTGCTCTGGACTTTGTGTACTCGGTAGCCAGGGCTTTTGCCTCCCGCTTGTAAGTAGACACTGGTTGGGTGCTGTGTGAAAAGGGCTGGGGAGCCCTCTGTTTAAGAGGAGGTCTTCGTAAGGAGGTGAAACCCAAAGTTAAGTCTGCGTTGCTTTGCAAAGTTGTCTCTAGTACTTACTCAGCGTTAATTATGTGCTAAGCACTGAACCAAGTAATCGCTTAAATTTATCTCATTCATTATGCACAAAGCTTGGCTGAGAAGATCTTACGCGGTTTTTCAAATTTCTGTCTTCTGGGCCTTATTTGGACAGGAATGCTTCCAACTTTGTTCACAGCCGGATCCCCTGTGTACTTGATACATGCAAAGTACTGGTTGAGTGGATTTAAATGTTCTCCTAAAGGAAAATGATTTAACCAAGGTCTCACAGCTAGAAGTGCCCACTACGAATTAGAATACAGATGTTTCTTACCAAAGCCCACACTAACCTATGTTGCTCAGCATCGCCCTCAGCAGTACTTTTTCGCTGCCTTTTAAGTTATATAAAACAAGTGTAAAATGAGGTCCCTTCCCTTGAGGGTATTGTAATTTAACAAGGAAAGAAACTTGCACACCTACGAGTTGCAGTTTCGTATCAGCACATTTGACCTGAACTGTGGGGCTTAGAGAAAATAGTGAGAATTCCGAGGAGTTATATTTTCTTGATTTCTAAAGAGTGTATTTCCAAGTCCCTGTAACAGTGCTCCACAGTGACAGTAAATTTGGTGTGGAAGAACATGAAACTCAGATTATGCTTTCTTTCATATTAACAACATTGCACAAATACTTGTTTGGGGGTTTTTTATTTGTTTTTTTTGTTTTTTGTTTTTTTTTGAGAAACAGACCACTCCCATCAGTTTATTATCTCTGTTAAAAATTTAGTCACAGAAAGCATTGCTTTTGTGTTTTATTTGTCTTTTGTTTTCATGTTACTTGTAAAAGTAAGTAACATGCTGATGCTAATTTTAAAACTCCTGATCTGTTAAGGACAGTGTGATCACCGTTTTGACTCTTCAGTGGTCACTTCTTGATCTAAAGACCAGACACCACTTGGGTAGATTCAGCAAGATTTATTATCTAAAGAACCTAGAAGGACATGAACACAGAGAGCACCACAAGGGCATCCTCTGTGACAAGTGGAGGTGCTGGAATCTAGATCATCACCTTTAGGGTACATAATTGTGAAAGGTCACATCTGAGCAAGTAAGCATCACATCAGTCCTTCCAGAAGCTCAACTGTTCCCTTTCACACCCAGCCTGATACAAAGGAGGTTGGAAAACCAGTTCATTTAGATCAGAGTTTCAGTGTGCACAGTATGATTACTAAAATAGATAACTCCTTAAAATTTGGCCTGCATAAGCTATCCCTCACACTCAGACCTGCCAGGTGAACTGAACTCAGACCAAGTACATTCCTGAAGTCAGTCCTGTGGAGAAGAGGGGTCAGGTACTCAGACCTCTGCAAGTCATGCCAATAGAACTTTAGGCCAGCTTTAGCGCTTCTTCCTCAATTGTAGAAAGAAATTTTTTTTTTAAATCTCCCCCACCTGCAGCCAAAAGAAGACTTTTGTTCCTTTGCATTACCTTCCCCCTCCTCTGCTATCCCTGATTTTTATTTTACTCTCCTCATATTAGCCCTTTCCTCTAGGGTCATTTCTGCCAGGCTTGTGGCATACCTTGTATACAGTGATTTCATTGCTTTCCTTGGTTAATTCCATTGTTTTGAGATGTTATTTTGATTAGTAGAAGAACTAGCATGAGATTCTTCATCCCCCAGAATGTGCAAGCTGACTGTGAGCTCAGCATGAGTGTGCAGCTATTGCTATAATTATTAATCTATAATAAAAACACCTCCCTTGCCCTGGCTGGTTTGGCTCACGGTTAGAGTGTCCGCTCTTGGACCAAGGGTCATAGGTTCTATTCCTGGTCAAGGGCACGTGCCTGGGTTGCAGGTTCAATCCCCAGGCCCGGTCAGGGTTGTGCAGGAGACAATCAATAGATGTGTCTCATATCGATGTTTCTTTCTCACTCTCTCTCATTCATTAATAAGTAAAAAATTTTTTTAAAAAGAATAGTATTTGAAAGGCTATATGGGATGCTGGCCAGGCAGCTCAGATAGAGCGTTGTCCCCATACACCAATGTTGTGGGTTCCCATCAGGGCACATACAAGAATCGACCAGTGAATGCATAAATATGTGGAACAACAAATCAATATCTCTCGCCTCTCTCTCTTTCTTTCTCTCTCCCCCTCTCCTTTCCTTTCTCTAAAAAATTAATAAATAAAACGCTATATTTTATTCATCTTACAGATTTATCATAATTTACCTAACAAAGACTATATGATTAGACCTCAAGGTTATTTCCAATTTCAGGGGAATTGTTCATAATTCTATAAGAAACATTCTTTTTTTTTTTCCCTCACCTGAGGACATTTTGGATTTATCTTCAGATAGAACGGGAGGGAGAAAGAGAGGGGAAGAGAGAGAGTGAAACATCAATGTGAGAGAGACACATTGACTGGTTGCCACCCACAACCCCAGCCGGGGCCAGGGACAAACTGCAACTGAGGTACGTGCCCTTAGTGGGAACCGAACCCAGGACTCTCTGGTCAGCAGGCCAACGCGCCAACCACTGAGCAAAACCGGCGAGGGCCCTGATTACTTCTTTAGGAAAACAATCCTAGAGATGTAATTGCTGTGTCAAAGAATAAATAAAATCCTAAGGCTTTCCATACACATTTCCAAATTACTACTAGAAAAAATATGCCTTTTTATATTCCTATCTTTAATGCTCGAAAGTGCCCACTTTCTTGAATCTTTCCTAACAAATGGGTGTTAGCACAACTTTTATTAATTTGGTAGGTTAAAATTCTACCTCCTTTTGCCTTGGCCAGTTTGGCTCAGTGGTTAGAGTGTCAGCCCGCACACCAAAGAGTTGTGGGTTTGATTCTGGTGAAGGGCATGTACCTCAGTTGCAGGTTTGATCCCTGGCCCTGGTTGGGGTTGTGTGGGAGGCAGGGCTGTGCGGGAGGCAACTAATCAATGTGTCTCTCACATCGATGTTTCTCTCTCTTTCTCTCTCTCTCCCTTCTTCCTTCCCACTCTATCTGAAAATCAATGGAAAAATATCCTCAGATGAGGATAAAAAAAAAAATTCTACCTTCTTTTAATTTATATTTCTTTACTTATTAAGATAACCAACCATTTTTTTCATACATTTCCTAAGAACACTGGAAGCCAGACACCTCTGGCTTTTGTTTAGATGATTAAATTATCTGTTTCTCTTAGTCAGTTTGAATTGGGTTCTGTGTCATGGGAACAAAGTATACTAACCAACACAGTGCTCTTAGGCATACTGATGTTTTAAAATGTACGTAGTTACTCCTTATGTTTTATGGATTTTTTGCCTTATATGTTTAGAAGCCACAGCAAGATCTTATAAATACTTACCAAAAAACCTTTCCATTCTTTTTTTTAATCCTCACCCAAGGATATTTTTTCATTTATTTCAGATAGAGTGGAAGGGAGAGAGAGAGAAACATCAATATGAGCGAGATACATCAACTGGTTGCCTCCTGCATGACCCCGACTAGGATTGGGATAAACCGCAGTGGAGGTATGTGCCCTTGACAAGAATCAAACCTGCAACTTCTTGGTCTGTAGGATGATGCGCTAACCATTAAGCAACCAGTCAGGGCTCCATTACTTTTTATTGACTTTAGCGAGAGAAAGGAAGGGAAAGAGAACATGGATTTGTTGTTCCACTTATTTATGCATTCATTAGTTCATTCCTGTATGAGCCCTGATCAGTGATCAAACCCCAAACTTGGTGTATTGGGACAGCACTCTAACCAAGTGAGCTGCCCAGCCAGGGCCTACCTTGTTATTTCTCATTGGGTTTACATTTATTTGAATTTTATTTTTCTATGTGTATTGGGACAGCACTCTAACCAAGTGAGCTGCCCAGCCAGGGCCTACCTTGTTATTTCTCATTGGGTTTACATTTATTTGAATTTTATTTTTCAGTGAACAGTTACTAGGAGGAGTCTACAGCTTTATACCTAGAAGTTGTTTGGTCGTAATTTACTTAATTCATTCTTCCTCTCATTGATTGGAATAGTACCACTACTAGATGTTAAAGTGATCCTCTTAAAATACAAATTAGATCATGTCAAAGAACTTTTTTTTTTTTTATCCTCACCTGAGGACATTTTTGCATTTATCTTCAGACAGAGCAGGAGGGAACGTGGGAGGGAGAGAAAGAGATATGATGTGAGAGAGACACATTGACTGGTTGCCACCCACACAACCCCAACCAGGGCCGGAACAAACTGCAACCAAGGTACATGCCCTTAGCGGGAACCGAACCCAGGACTGTCCAGTCCATAGGCCGATGCTCTAACCGCTGAGCCAAACTGGCCAGGGCTCAAAGACCTTCTTTTGGTAACTTTCCCTTGCATTTACAGAGGGCTTGCAAAGTCCTATAAGATCTC